TTTTCCCTCCCATCTTTCTGCCATTTTAAACCATTAGTATTTTCGAGCAATACCTATACATGTACTTCGTTGAACGAATATTTCCAAGAGCAGCATCAGCAACTTGCTAATGCAAAAACGCCGCTTAATCAAAGGCAGATCCAGGACCAGAGCCTCGGGCCTGCCTACCACTACCACCACCCTTGTTTAATTTAAAAAAAATGTTGTTTGTACTGTCTTAAATCAAGGGAAAACTTGCAGTGTTCATGACATAAGTACATCAAGTTCCTAAATCACTTACATTCAAAAAAATTAAATCGAATTAAAAATCATTTAACCAAGGGTTTGGGGATCCCTCTATACAAACTACTGGATTGGTAAGTTTAGTTTATGTAACATTAACATTATAAGGTGTCTATTTAAATGAAGGATATGGAGATAACGAACAGTATCCAATATCAAAGTTCATAAAACAATACAAAACAGGAGCAAAGCAAACACAGACCTTCCAAACATCACAGGTGGGATCAGGTGTCATAAAGGTTTAATTTTATGACGCCCTAAAACGTCATATTTTTCAAAGTCCGATTCTTTTACCTAATACACTTATCTTGATGAATTTTCCTGGAGTTGAATAAAACCCGTCTTGTTTGTATGCCTTTATAATGTCATGAAAAGCTGCTTTCAATGCATAAAATATTGCATATGAATTTATACATTGTGAGAGATCCTTGCTTGATTGTGTCAGCATAGTTTGCTTTTAGAGTTCAATATCTACCACAAATAATCAACGTCATTTTTGGCGTGATTGACTTTTCACACCTTGAGTACAAATTAACATTAACTGTTCATTTCTTTTTTCTCTGAATCTCTTTTGGCATTAAAAATAAGTCCCCTGGATGCATTTTATTTATCTGTAGCCAGATAAAACAGTTCCTAGGTCTTTAACAGTTTTTTTTATGCCCAAAATTTTATAGAATGTTGGAAAAAGAAACCCCTCCCCCTTTTAACGTCATTTTAAAGCCCTTAATTGTTAAGACACTCAATACAAAATGCACGATAAAATTGTATAGAACTTACCGAATGATGTCAAAATTGCATATTTTACCGTCCCATCACAAATCTGAATTAATAGGATTTTTTAATGTCAAATGTTCATAACAATGGAGTTTTTCTCAGTAAGACCGAGGGCGAAAAAACGTCATTTTCGAGGTTGCGCCGCCTGGACAAACCATTGATTATAAAAACATTATTAATTTATTAAAAAATAAGATTTATGATTTGTGGTTTTTTCTATAGATAGAAAAGATGATGCTTACTAAATATTTTTAAATTCATTGATATATCTAAAGCGGTTTTAATTCTACAGCGCAAGTCTACGAACTTTTTGATAACCCCTCGTACTCGGCATCCAGGCCCATTTCCACGAATGATTAAATGTAAATGTACATTATATATGTAGAACGTGAAGGAACGTTTGAACGTTTAATTTCATCAGTATTATAAAGCTTGTTAACAGAGAAGTTTTGTATGTGAAATGATATGGCGGACCCCCTATCATATCTCATACATGAACGGGAGGATGCAGTCTTCGAAGGTTTCAAATATTAAGAGAGTGAAATCAACAGGCTTATTCTGTTTAAAAGTTGTCGTGGTTTTAATGTTTTCAAATCATTTAAGTAAAGAATAAATGACTTGTCCGTTACATTAACAGCTACCATTGTCCCCTTTAAGGCAGTTGTGGATAAATCTTATCACCATGTATAACTTTTATGCAAAACAACATGAAATTAACTGCAGTCAAATAGCACACGCCGTGAAACTTAAACAAATTATCAATTGAATTTTTAAAAAGGCATTTTTTTTAAACATTTGTCCTGAAGGAAAACCTTCAAGAGTACCATGCAACAATATATTCAAAAAGTGGTGTGAATCAGATGTGGATACTCAAAAATTCCAAAGTACATTTGGGCAATTTGAAATCACAAAATCAACAGCTTGATACTTACGACTTTTCAACTTAATACACAGGCAGTCCCAACCATAGATTAAAGTCCGGGCTTTTTAATATCATCGACAAATGCTTTTTCAATAAAAGTGGAACTCGTAAATTAACTTACCTGTCATTGGTCATTTGCAAAATCATTTTGTGAAAATACATTCTGATCGCAAACACAAGTTTCCTTAAGTTGACATCAAAAATATGATTGAGTTTCTGATTGACAATATCTAAGTGGATTTTGGAGACCAGGTTTTCCAGCAATTTATTTATTCCTTCGTATATTAGCATTCCTTAAGATTATATAGAGTAAAAACCATACTTCGTGAAAATTTTGTCTTCGAAAGAGTCGATGGCAATCTCGAGAAAATAAGGGGTCGCGAATATTTAGTTATCTACGGTATCATTGAGTCAAATGCTGACAGAAGCTTTTCAACTTATTGTTAGTCTATTATTTATACACTGATTGATGACGGATTTTCCCGTTATTTCCAAATTATGACAAGGAGCACACGATGTGTGTGACAAGTCAGCGGGGGGTGCTCAATCTTCCGTGGCATATGGAACTGGGGCCATAAAATTTAGACGAGCTCCCTTTTGATCGTAATCTCACCTTTCCACTAGATATTCCTTTGGTAAATTTGAGACTGAGATCAAAAGTGAGCTTATCTAAGTTTTATTGCCCCCAGGCCTGATGCCACCGCTGATGTTACGGAGGTCCGTGATTGCTTTGTTCCTTTTTTATACCGTTTGATGAAATTTTGAGCTTGAATTATACCTTATATTTCATTATTTTGTGGACAAGGAGATTATATCTTAATATAATAATTGTGCAAATAATTACTGACAGGCTTAGTATATTTACGTGTTTTTATTGAACAACAACTGCCTTTGACGTCAAAAACGTCTCGACTTTAATTTATCGTGGGGGATTGTTGTATAAAATGCTAAAAAGCCGTAAGTTTTGATTTTATTGACTTTGATAAAATGTTGTGATTTTAAGTTATCTAAAAGTTCATTTTAAAAAAATCCTTGGAGTTTAATTATCCAAGTCTGATTTACACTACTTCTCTTATATAATACTCTATAAAACTATACGGTAATTTAAATTCATTTTGATGTTTGAGAATATAAAAATAATTTAAAACTGACCAGTGATTGTAAATATTTTCTTTTAAGAAAGGACGCTATTGGTATAAGTTGAAGTACTACTTGAAAATGTAATTTTTTGGGAGATATCGAACAGTATTCAAGCTCAAAAGTCCATTAAACAATACACAGTTGGAGCAGAACAAACACGACCTCTAAAACATCAGAGGTGGGATTAGGTGCCATGAAGGACACCCCTACTAATGTGTTCGGAACCTTTTATATTTCGGTGTTCTGCAAATTATAAAACCCGATGAGTTCAGAGTAGCTCTGACAGTGGCTCTTTCGAGAGTTAGCAAGACGTCAGCGAGATAGGGTAAATTATTCACGGAAATGTGGCTAGGAAGTGCCTAGCACGTGGAGACATGGTAAACAGAAAAGTTATGTTGCGTTTTAGTTTTCACCACCCTATAATATCATTCTTTAGAAATGTACTTCAATTGATCTTTCTTGAATTCATTCAAGTTTAAATTAAAAGTATTCTCTAGGATACAATTTTCTTCTGTCATGCATTAAAATTTCTTTTTCGATAAATATTTTGCATTGGAATCGGGACTACATTTTTTGGCGTCAGATAAGCAAATGAGGCAACAATGCGACTTTAAATGACAAACAGATGAATGAGAATTGCATTATGGGTTACTATACGAAAACTACAGGAATTTTACCATTGATAATTTCCTTTATTGTACTATTGGTGAATACAATTGTCAGGAGGATTCCCTTGCCAACACACGTGATCACGGGTATAGTTATGTAAAAGTGTTTTGTCAATTTAAATGCATACGAGAAGCTGCTCGTTTTCCTTACCCTTGAAGTGCTGAAGTTCTGAACTTGATACTAACTACGTAAACATTTTATTCAACATATTTTTCTCTTGTAAACAACAAATTAAAAACGCTCGTGATATTTTCGTGGTCTCTAATGTTTGCATTTTGTTCATAAGAACTGTTTTTTTATTTTGCACTCCATTGACATGATCATAGATTGACCTGTTCGAAGTTATATGTAAACATGTATTTGGCGTAAACGTATTCAATCAACAATTGGTCAGTTTCTCGTGGTAAGATCCTCTGTGCACATTAATAGCAACAGCCATATAAAGCAAACAAACTTTTAGGTTTGTCAGTGTAGATGATATAACATTTTTTTACCAGCCTATCGGTCGCTAGTGAGCTGTAATTTTTGCAGTAAACTACGATAAGATGTATTAATTGTTATACCCTCCCCCTTAAGCCACCAATTTCTATTGAATATCATGAAAGTCTTTGAGTGTGGAAACACATTTTTCACAGGACATGTTTTCAGAAGAAACAGACTATAGCAATTTCCTGTTTACTGCCAATTTTATTTACAAAACCGGTTCTACCCTATAACCCTTGAAAAGGCAAACATAAACCACGTGTCTTGAATTTAAATCGCAATAACATCAGTAGGGGTGAAGGAGTAAGCTTCGCTATGTCGATTGATTGAACCCGCCGTTTTCTCCGTATCGTGATCGGAAAATAGCAGGATAGATAATTTCCATATTGCCCCTCAATCGCTAAATAATATTCATAATATATATAAGAAAATAGATTAATAAGGATCATCCCATCTTAACAAATTTCTAATTTGCCAAAATTAAGGTCTATAATTTTTATTTCTGGGGATCAGTGTTTTTTTAATATTAAGAATCAGGAGTTTTTATTGAAAATAAAATGCATTAGAGACTAATGAAGTCAGCAGTCAAATTACTTTTACGTACAAGCAAGTAGAGGCGGAATATACCCTTCAATGCCATCTTTTCGGCGGAAAAAACAACAAATTCTAAGTACTTGTAATTCTTAATTAGATCGTCAACGCCCAGTGCTACAATGTATTAAAGCAGTTTCTTTATTCATTATTTGCCACTGCAAAAGTGGGGATTCTACAAGTACTATGCATTATTCTCTCTTTGCACTTTAACAGATTATTTGCCCTTATGCCTTTAACTGAAGACGAAAGTTCTAATAAAAATGGTTTGTTGCCTAACACCGTAACCGACAAAGCGTCAAATGTATTACGGGACATTCTAAATCAGGAGAGTTTGGTGCGCTTTTCTATGGTACAAAAAATACAAAGTTTAGTGATGGATGCTACCGACAGGAAAACTGATAGTCAAGTTATAAATTCGAAACTTAGCGAAGTGACAAAAGACTTACAGAATTTGGAGATGAAATACCAAGTGATGAAGGATGAAAATGTCAAACTTCAAGAGCAATTAAAAGCGATACACGGGTCAGTAAATGACAATAAAAATATGACTTTGGAAAAAATCAAAACCTTGAATGAATCTCAAACTATCACTTTTAAAAGCAATCTCAGAAAAATGAAAGAACTTGAAGATGATGAAAGAAATCAAACTGTTGTCCTAAAAAATAATGACCGTGTATTAACAAAAGAAATTAAGTTTCTCAAAGAGAAAATGAATGAAATGAACGTGACAATACAAAGCAGCGTGAACCTTGTCGAGAGGGTGGAAAAGACAGAGGACATGTTAAAAAGTATTTTGGTTACTTACAATGAAACACAGGAGAATGCTGAGGATGTGAATGAATTGAAATTGGTATCGTCAAAAGGTATAGCATTTCTTTATATTTAAGCATGGAATTATATTCAAAGGTAAAATACAGGAAGTTTATTTCTTGAATATATTTATCGTACTATCAAGAGACTGTGGATATAAAAGTGATCGAGTAAAGAAAAAATGTGAGATATTAAAACAAACAAACAAACATAATATTTTTAAGCATGCAAAATTAAAATAACAATTCGTAGCACTAAGACCATTATAGAAAAAAAATTATCCGAAATTTTTGATAAACTTACAGATATTTTATGTTTTATTATTCTCATTATACATATGTTGGGGTTGATGCACCAATCTCTGCAGATTAATGTATTATGCAATTAAAGTAATTGTAAAATTATATATATATATATATATATATATATATATATATATATATATATATATATATATATATATATATATATATATATATATATATATATTAGAATTAAAAGAGTAAAAATAATCGTTTTCAATAGTTTGAAAATTGTCACTTTAGCAAGGCTATATACTCAGGGTATAGTTTGTACTACCCAGTCTTTAAAATTTCATTTAAGTTTTGTCGCTAATTTTGATTTTCTACAATATGATTGGATGACAACTTCCCCAACAATGATGAGTTTGCTTTTCTGTGAAGTTGTCTAAAAAGTTTGACCGAACAGAAGGGACATATTCGTTAGATTATTTTGTGAAGTCGATATATCTATGAATTGACCTTATGAAAAGGCTATATTGATAAATTACTATAGGTTCTCAAAACTTTTTTCAACTAATGAGCTTTGTTTCAAAAACCAATTTACATCCACTGAATATTTTTTCTCAAGATCTTAAGAAAACTATTGTCGTTCATCAGTCAGTAAATAATAGTACATGTAAACCTTTCGTCTGTGCAGATTGACTTAGCTGAGACTCTTCCATCACCGAATCTTACCATAATTTGCACTCAAATATCACAATACTTCATCTACTTAATCATTTTTTGTAAATGATTAGTTGCACACAAGTACTCTGAAGTTGACATCAAAGAGATGCTTGAGTTTCTGATTGACAATAAATAAGCTATGTAGTTTTTGGAGACCAGTTATTCCAACGATTCATTTAATTGAAATTCCCATGAGTACCAATTGCGATCCGTTATTTGCAGACCTATTTTTTTGGTTTGGTTTGAACATATTTTATTGTTCTGTTGTTAAAACAAAAGGATTGGACACAAGTTCTTAAAAACTTAGAACGTCCTCTCCTTTGAAACAATTTGTAACACAAAGTACATTGTTCAAAATTAATTTACACAGGAACCAAAGGTCAATAAGATTATCTAACATAGACAATGCTTATACAGAATTGAATTAATGTAGTATGGACATACTAATCTAAAAGCATTACTCAAAAACGACCAGATCTCTTAATATACAATTGCACATTTAAAAATAAACTTTCATTTTCAGAAATACTGATCGAATTATCTCCCCATAATAGAACATGAGTGTCTACAATACGTAAATTTATCATTCTAAAAATAGCATTGAACAAATCGTTTCTTGGGGCAGTGTAGTTCACACAAGAAAAAAAAGAAATGATATGCATCTTCTATTTTTCCGCAAGTACACAGTGGACTGTCAGTAATATTACACCTAAATAAGTCTTTATTTAGGACACAATTGTGTCTTAATCTAGTATGAATTACACTCCAGTAACGATCACCAAAAGTAAAAAATGACGGTGTAGGTGTTTTCTGAGAGTTTATACATTTTTTGAAGGAACCAATTATAGTGGATTGTCTTGTTTCAAGAGATAAAGAATTCCATTCCCTTATTGCCATTGGAACAAACGATGATTTATAAATATTTAATCTACACCTAGGGATACAGTAATTTTGTGATTGTCTTGTTACGTAATTTGGTTCTTGTGATCGAATGTTTGGAAATATTTCTTTCAAATAACCGGGTACCATATTATGAAATATTTTGTACATAGTTGTTCTTACTTTGGACATTCGTCTAACAGCAAGTGGTTCCCAACCAGTTTCAAAATAGAGAGAATCTCGCGATGCCAATGAGGTTAATCCAGTGACTATTCTTGCTGTTGCAAGTTGCAATTTTTCTAGTTTTTCAGAATCTTGACTAGAACACCCACACCAAACTTCGGTTGCATATTCTAACTTAGGTCTTATAAAAGTAGTATATAAAATAGATAAAGTTTTTGCACTGACCTTAATCTGCATTTTTTTAAGTTGACCTATTTTTTTATATGCATTAGCTACGATAGAATCAATGTACCCTGACCAAGTGAGGTCGTTTGAAAATAGAATACCTAAGTGAATTATGTGATGATACTAAATCTAAATTACAATCTTGAAATTTTAGCAATGGTAAATCTACGTTTTTCTTAGTACTAAAAAATACAGCTTTGGTTTTAGTAGGATTAAATTTCAATAGCCATTGTTTAGACCACCGCTCAAGTTGATTTAAATCATTATTCAATCCTAATTGAATATCATGTACATTTTCTGAACATTTCTGTAAAGAATTATCATCAGCATACAATCTGCTTAAGGTAGACATATTTTCAGCGACATCATTGACATATATCAAGAATAAAAGTGGTCCCAATACAGACCCCTGGGGAACTCCAGCATGTAAAGATCTAAAACTAGACATAGTATTCCTATGCAATACCCTTTGTGTCCTTAAATCTAAATAACTTTGAAACCATAATAATAACTTATCACTAACACCATAAGTTTGTAACTTAAAGAGAAGACCTTTGTGCCAAACCCGATCAAATGCCTTAGACAAGTCGCAAAAAACCATACAACAGTGTTTTCCTTCATCCATAGCTTTAGCTATGTAATCGAATGTCTCAATAAGTTGATAAACTGTTGAATGACCTGGTAAGAAGCCAGCTTGATATTTGTAAAAAAGATTGTTTGAATGAAAATAATTGTAAACATATTTAAAAATAACTCGCTCCATAATTTTTCCAACGCAGCTTAATAATGAGACTGGTTTATAATTTGATAATAATGATGGGTCACCTTTTTTAAATAAAGGAAGTACATTAGCTACCTTCCACTGTGTAGGAAATACACATTCTCTTAAAGATCTGTTAAACAAAATACATAAAGGATAAGAGACGCTAAAAATGGTAGCTTTTAACATTTTATGACTAATGTTGTCAGGTCCTATTGCCTTGTTCACTGGGAGAATAGAAATTATATCAATAATGTCCTGTTCAACTATTTCAATACTATTAAAAACACTATTACATAATAAAGAAAAAGCTGGTAATGCAGGTTCGACATCATGCGAAGCCGAAACCGATACAAAATATCTATTTAACGCTTCAACCTTGTCAATATCGCTGTAATTAATATGCATATTTCCATTTTCTATAATATTCCCCCAGCGGTGGAATTTCGGACCTAACCTTAGTTTTAAAAACATCTTTTAATAATTTCCAATAAATTTTAGAACTTTTGATACTTGCTTCGATAAGATTGGTCTCTATATTGTTGTAATAGTTTGCCATACTTTTTTCATGTTGTTTACTTTATTACCTAGTTTTTTAAACTTATTTTTATCTGAATCTTTTTTTGTTTTGTGAGCTTTTTCTCTTGCACGATTTCTCTGACGAATCGTTCTTCGCAAAGCGGAATCCATCCAGGGTTTATCCTTCGGCCTTATTGTAACTGTTTTTTCAGGAATACAATTTTTAACGTGATTTAAAAAACTTTTTGAAAAATTACTTTCCGCCTGATCTATATCTTTAGCTTCATTAATAAGTATATTCCAATCTGTATTGCGTATAAGTGTGTTTAGTGTTTCAAAATCTGCATTCTTATATTGCCATATTTTCCTATCATATGATTGTGCTTGTATTGTATGTGATTTAAGATATATGTATGTGCCTTTGTGATCGCTGAGAGATTGTTCTACGTCTATTGTCCCTGAGTCCAGTACATCGGCATGTAAGTTTTCGCTGACAAGAATTGGGTCTATGAGAGATTTCGTGTTTTTCGTGACTCTAGTTGCGTCGCATACCGTGTTTTGGAAGGAATATTTTAAAAGAATTTCATTGACTACATGTGTGATTTGGAGATTTAGAAAATTTACATTTAGGTCACCTATGACTAAGATTCTATCGGATATATCAACAGCTTTTTCAAGAGACCATTCGAATTTTTTCCAAAAAGAATTATCGGAGTTAGGAGGTCGATACACACAACAGAGCAGGATATTGCAGGTAGGATCGCTTATTTCTACCCATATACATTCTAGGTTCAAAGGTTCAAGATCAGGGCGTCTATTTGTGCGCAAAGAGTCAGATGCATATATTATTACACCGCCCCCATAAGAGTTCCTATCTTTACAAAAAATTGAGCTGAATCCGTCAATAGGAATGTCTTCGTTTAAAATGTTAGCATCAAGATGGCTTTCTGTGAAACATAAAATATCGTAATCTGATACAATACTAAGAAACTTATCAAACTTGTTTCTAATACTTCTTACATTTAAATGAAAAATGTCCAGTGTGGATTGGGTACTTTGAGATGGTCCCGGATTTGTCTCTATGTCGCCTGACAACAATAAAAGGAAATACATAATTTGAAACACATAATTGAAAAAAAAAATTTTTCTTGTGCCCCTTTTGACAGTAAACGTTTGGTATTTTGTAAAATGTACTTAAGACGCTCAATAAAAAAATAAACAAAATCATGAAATCGTAGAACATAGAATAGCAGTGATTTTGATGTACATCTACATTTACAATAGAAAAGTCCGATTGCGGCTCGATATTGTTCTATTGTATTAGCCATTATCAAAACATAAAGAGCAATGTTGAGCAATATTTGAACCAGCCGCAAGGAGACATATAATAAGAAAACGTGCAATTTTATTTCTATGACCTTTGGTTAAAAATAAAAACAAAAAAACATTGAAAAAAAGTTTAGGTAAAAAGAAATAAAAAAGAAATCAAAAAACAAAAAAGAACAGAACAAGTCACTAGGCAAAACCAAAAGCCTATTGACAGCTACTCGGTCCATCGTTGAAAAACATATGTACACTGATACACATACTGCTACATGTAAGAACAGCATGATTTAGACCCTTTGAAGGAAAAAATTAAGGGGAACACTTTATAACGTTACTGTAATATGCAGTGAAAGTTTACAAAATCATTATTTTATATGCAATAAAATACAATTCAACTGTCTTGCATTAAGAATAGCGGCTAAACATAACTGAGTCTATCAAAGGAAAAAAAAAAACCCAAACAGAATCATCCCTGTATATTCTAATACTCAGATTCCGCACCTGGGGCAATAAGGTCAAGGTCATTGAAGGTACGGATCAAATGTTTCTCGCCCTCCTTCTCGATCTTTACAAAAATGCGACCATCATTCGTCCAGTATGAGTGTATAGCATCTGCCTGTTTCGCTTTGGACAGTTCGTGAATAATGCTCTGTCGGTACCTGGTAAGGTCTTCGGTAACAAATAAGGGCGTGCCCTTGAGTTTTCGTTTTGCAGAATAAATTTTGTTTTTTACTTTCCAGTTTTTGAATTTGCAAATGATTTGAATGTTTCCGTTGGCATTGGGTTTACCGATAGGGTGGGATCGAGAAATGTCGTCCTCTTTTATGTCAATGTTAAATTTGGATTTGCATAGATCTTTCACCATTTCATCAGTATCTAAGTAGTTGCCCGTTTGGCCTGGCACTGGACAGTTATGGAACCTAAGAGAGGTCCTCCTGCCATACTGCTCTAGATCGTCGAGTGATGTTTCTAGATCCCATATTTGGTTTTGGAGATTGGCATTTGTTTTGTCTGCCTCCTTTAGCTGATGTTTTAAGTTCTTGATTTCTTCAGCTTGTTTGGCTATTGTCAAGTTTAGTTGGTTGAAAACTGATTGTACAGCCTTTTCTATGGTTGGTGTTATAGCACTTACCAATACGGGGACCAGCTGAGACATAACATTTTGATCACACACAGCTGAGTAAATCAGGCCTGGTAAACTGTATGTTTGTCCCTCGGATTGAATGAGGGGGGTTTGGGCAATGGGGGTGGGCTCTGTAATTGAGGAATAAGAGTCTGCTTGACTAACACTTACAGCAGCACTTACAGATGAATCCTCAGGTACAATAGTCGACGATTTTGAGAAAGTGGTAATCTCAGAATTATCATTCATATTGTCCATACTGCCCTGTTTACCAGAATTGTTTGAAGAATTCAGATCTGGGAGAGATGTAGACAGAAACCTTCTGCGAGATGTTTTGTTCTGATTTTCAGATGGACTGCTAAGTTTTCGTTTTGATTTTTTGGATTTTTTGTTATTACCACTATTGTTGGAACTTGACATGAGTTCATCTCACACAAAAGCACAAAAGCACAGAATGTTTTGGTTTTTAACTTTGTCAATGTAGTTTTTACTGAAGTTATTTTTATATCAATTCATCTGTGACAGCTTTGCGAAATGATATATTAGTGAGTTATCAATTTTCACACACAGAAATACAACATACCCCCGTTTTTTCCTCTCGACCGAGACTAAACGTCGACACTAGACGCCATCTTGAATTCCAATCCTATTTTTATATTCATATGACGCAAAATTTGTGCAAAATCCTATGCGTGAAAAGAAGAATACGCTTACTGTGGCCTTCAACTCGACATTTAGATATATCGACGACGTATTGTCAATTAACAATGGTTATTTCCATTTCTATGTCGATGCGATATATCCTGGTGAGATTGAGATAAAAGATATCATAATGGCACATCCGTTTCATACTTGTACATTTTACTTGAAAAGGAAGTTAATGGTAATCTAAAAACCAAGCTCTGTGATAAATGTGATGACTTGAACTTTTCTTTCGTCAATTTCCCGTACTTATGCAGCAATATACCCTCATCACCTGCATACGGCGTGTATATATCTCAGTTGATTCGATACGGAAGAGCATGCTCTACCTATGAACAATTTCTAAAACTAGGTAAATTACTGACAAGCAAGTTGATAAAACAAGAATATAAACAGTCTCGTTTGAAGTCACCATTTCGTAAGTTCTATGATCGATACAATGACCTTGTCAGGACGTTGAGATTGATTACTGTTCGTTATCTCCATATCCTTCTTTCAAAACTTACAATAAAAGAGAAATATTTTATTTCCATATCCATCATTGCTCAAAGTACATTCATCTACATATATTTTAGTGCTTTCAAAGAATTGCTGGGAAATTTTACAAATATTCCCGGGTACGTTTGAAAAAGATGGATTATACACAGTATTCATTGCCTTCGAAGAAAAGCTTGTTTACTGTGATATGAGTACAGATGGAGGAGGGTGGACGGTAAGTATAGCTTGTTATAAAGTTAAGAAAATAATACACTCTCAAGGAATTTCCTTTCACTACAATATTTTATTTCTTTGAGTACTTTGTCAAAGTCAGTTTGAAAGTAAAAGATAATGAATAGTGATCGATATAATAAATCCAGTGAAAGTTAAAGAAATCGTGAACATGACAAAACATGGATGCCTGGAAACACCGGAGGTGGAGTCATTTGCCTAAGAGGAGTAAACACCCCTGTTAGAGTGGACTTACAATATAACAGATTTATTACAAAAATAATAATCTTACTCATGATCTTACGTATGATATGTAGAACTTGCGAGAAACGTACGTTAAAAGCTAAAATTCTTGTTCAAGAACTTTTTCATTAGTAGCATGTCTTGTTTTTTTTTATGTACAATAGTTTTTATACCCGCACTTTCTAAAGAAAGTTCGGGTATATTGTTGTTACTCATGTCCGTCCGTCCGTCCGTCCGTCCGTCCGTCCGTCCGTCTGTCACACTTTTCTTCCCTGAACTCCTCTTACATTTTACACAGTAGCCTAATCATCTTTTGGGAGATGGTTGGTGGTGTCATGTAGATGTGCAGGAAGGTTTCGGAATTTTGATTTTGCCCCGGGGAATCAAATGGGGGTCGAAAAATGATGTTTTTTATGCAAAAAGCCCCGTCTTCCCTGAACTCCTCTTACATTTTACACAGTAGCCTAATCATCTTTTGGGAGATGGTTGATGGTGTCCTGTAGATGTGCAGTAAGGTTTCGGAATTTTGATTTTGCCCCGGGGGGTCAAATGGGGGTCGAAAAATAACGTTTTTTATGCAAAAAGCCCCGTCTTCCCTGAACTCCTCTTTCATTTTACAAAGTAGTCTAATCATCTTTTGGGAGATGGTTGGTGGTGTCCTGTAGATATGCAGTAAGGTTTCGGAATTTTGATTTTGCCCCGGGGGGTCAAATTGGGGTCGAAAATGACGTTTTTTATGCAAAAAGCCCCGTCTTCCCTGAACTCCTCTTACATTTTACACAGTAGGCTAATCATCTTTTGGGAGATGGTTGGTGGTGTCATGTAGATGTGCAGTAAGGTTTCGGAATTTTGATTTTGCCCCGGGGGGTCAAATGGGGGTCGAAAAATTATGTTTTTTATGCAAAAAGCCCCGTCTTCCCTGAACTCCTCTTACATTTTACACAGTAGCCTAATCATCTTTTGGGAGATGGTTGGTGGTGTCATGTAGATGTGCAGTAAGGTTTCTAGACTGGCCTGCCTGTCTGATATCCGATATACAGACAGGTGATCAGTAATGTAAAGAGCCCTCTACCGGCCGCGCTCATTGGCTGATAAAAACTCTCGCTGACGTAGAATTTAAATACCTCGGGGAAACCAAAACAGATCATAGAGTGCTATATTACATGTATTATGGATGATTATCGTTACCTCGAGTTTTCTTTGCGTTCGAAAATTGCATTGGCAGAAATAAATTGTGAAAGACATTTAACATTAAATTTTCTAAAGCCTTTGCAAGGAAGAAGTATTAAAAGTGCTTTGACGAACGATACCGTTGTTGTTTTACCGACGGGCTACGGAAAAAGTTTGATTTACGAGATGCTGCCCAAAATATTTGATACCAAGATTATAATTGTTTCACCGCTGAATTCCATCATAGAGGAACAATCCGCAAAATTAGGAGACAGGGCAGTAACAATAGATGGGAAATTAATACAGGATCTTGAGAAGAAAGGTATATGGTTCTCTCTCTCTCTCTCTCTATGAGACTCGTTAAAAAATAATTACCAAGTATCTATTTTTTTTAGAACCAAGCACAGAATCTGAAAATGAGAGAGTTAAACGATTCTTCGATGGAAAGGCTGTTTACATCATGGGGCACCCAAAATTTATTATGGAAAAAACAATTTGTAAAATTCTTCGAAATAAATACAAGGATATAGCACACATTGTAGTTGACGAGGCTCATTGTGTTGTGAGCTGGGGGCACGATTTTCGACCACAATTTTCACAAATTTCAAAGTTTAGGTCCCTCTTTCCAAATGCTAAATTCGTAGCCCTGACGGCCACTGCAACGGTTAAAATGCAAAAAGAAATTGCAGAGAATTTATGCATGTCCAAAAATTTCCACACAATTTCAAGTAATACTATTCGCGCCAACATAAAACTAAATGTCTCCAAAAGGTGTGCATCAACAGGTGGACATTACACAGCAGAAGAATCCTTTGAAACATCTTTGAAACCAGTGATTTCTGAGCTCTGTCTACAATTTCAAAACTTTGACAGAACAATTGTTTACAGTAAGCTTAAATACTGTGCTATGGGATTTGAGCTAGTAAGAAGGGAGGCAATGAAACTATCCCTTGAAGATGTTTCTCAAGTGATGAATGCAGTTTCACAATATCATGCACCAAGCACCACTAAGGTATTTTAAAACTAGTTTTTATTTTAATTCACATAAAAATGAACACATTTAAAAAATTCTCTTTAGCCATCAACTATACATATTTTCCCAATTTTTTTTAAGATGAAGGAGAAAACAGTTCACAAAATGTGTGACCCCTCTAGCCAACTGAAACTTCTATTTGCTACAGAGGCATACAGCATGGGAACAGATGCACCAAATATTCGGCGAATCATACATTTCGGTCCCCCATCATCACTGGAAAGTACGTTTATCTTAAAAACATAATTGTATATTATTCAAGTATATGAACAGACAAATATTTAACAGATAAGTAACTAAATTAAAAATTTCTTATTAGTTAGTATGATTCTTGATTACAGCGTACTTGCAGGAGATAGGAAGAGGTGGGAGAGATGGGGCCCAGTGCATCGCAACTCTGTTTTATAACGCAAGTGACATACGAAGCAACGTCAAAAACATGAAAGAAGAAGTCAAACAGTTTTGCGCGCTAAAAACATGCAGGCGAAAATTTCTTACTGACCACTTTGGATTTTCTTATGAACAAAATATGACACCGCATACATGTTGCGATGTTTGTGAGCTAAAATGCCAATGTGACAATTGTATTGTCGCCATTGCTGATAAAATAGAAAATGACGTAGCAATGGAATCGCAAGCATCAAGTCGTAAAACTAAAAATTCTACATTACTTGTCGAAGTTCTAAGTGCGTATTTTGATGCTGAAAACAGTCAATTGGATATTCCAAACCCAGATGTATTTACTGGTCTCTCTAAATCATTGTTAACAGATCTTGTCAATTCAACTGAAGATTTTGAAAGTGAGGATTGTTTAAAGCAGAAGTTTAGTCACTTGCAACCTCATTTTTTGAGCAACATATATGAAATCATACAGAACGTAAGTGAAATCTAATTAATTTCCATATTCAACGGAAAACTGGAGCTTTTTATTTTCTATCCAACGGTGGTAGTTGGTTACATTAATATTTGTAGACGAGGAAGCCTGGATATCGGAGAACTGTTCGTGTTGGCGCCCTTCTTCAAACGAAAAAGGTCTAACCTCTCTCAGTTCATTTAGAATTGACAGTTCGTCACCAACAGCTGATTTGTCGGAATGTCGTTTTGATCTTTCGACAACACCTGAGATTTCATCATAATGCTCAGCAATTTCTCTGATGCTTGATATGGCACTAGACCTGTTCCTAACATTTCTTTCAGTTTTGTTGGAGAACATATGCTTGATATGTTCTTTTATTTGTTTAACTAAGTATTCCATCCTCCTGTCTGCTGGAATATGTCCGTTTACTTGTCCTGATGTGTTGACAAATAAACCGTAAAATTCTTCGTTTGCAGCTTTCTCAGATAGGATACACGTTTGATGTACAAGTAATCTCATGATTTCATATGCATATTTTGATAGATTGTTGTTACTTTTAAATATGAGCATGGTATTTCTTAAGAGACAGAGGCCCCGATCGGCATTTTACAGAAATCATTCGGCATCTTTACAGACTAATCCATGTTGTTTAAAGCCGCTTAACCCGAGCCAATCTTTAAAGACTAATCCAAGTTCTAAGACTCGTCGGGATTATTTTGTACTTTGTCGACTTTGGTATTTTCTGGGGTTTTTCGTTTTAACACCGATATCTTTGTTTCTTTACCATTTGCTTACTTGATGTGAATCATCTGCACTTCTCCTTCCACTAAAAAAAAGATAAATTTTAAATGTGATTGGCTTGTTTTTTTTCCCCTAATATTTTTTAAAAATTTATTATGAGTTCATATTATTTATATTGATGTTGTTGTAAATAAAAATATATATACCTTCAACCTCCTGTTCACCCATATTCATTGTCTTAATTTCGTTCTTCAGCATTGTTCCAACTTCATTAAAAAACCAACACCTTTTTATTTCGTCGTCAGCAAATTCGGGTAAAATGTGTTTAGAAGGAGCGGAATTGACATCTGGCTTTCCAAAATACTCAAGAACACATTCTACTATATACATATCAACAACAGAGACAAAAAAGTCCTTGTCTGCATCATAGTGGGTGTTGATATTTTCATTTACGTTTGTTCTGGAAATAATATTTTTCAAATGACTTAATGTTCCCCTATCACCAACACTGTTCTCTTTGTATAAAATTTTGAATGCCATTTTCAGGAAATTCATTTGCATGTGGAAAAGTTCAAATGTAATGGGACTTATGTTCTCAAAACGATCTTTCCGCTCATCTTCATGAGCCCTCATGGCCTTTGCCCCAGAAAACCTTTCTCTCGTCAACTGATCCCCTCCTACATGAATGAAAAAATCATTCTCATCTTTGTTGCATTTTCGACAAACATCCAGAACAAGATCTTCATAAAATTCTAATATATCTACAACATCCTTATAACTCTGTTCATTTTTGTAAAGCACTGGAAGTGGGATGACTTTAGACTTCTGCTGAAGCTCAGGGTAGGTTGGTTGACTAATATAAGTAGGAACAATATCTCGAAACTGGCGAAAATATGGCAAGTGTTTTAACATGACCCTGGCAGAAATGATCGTATAGTCCCTGGTTAAAACTTCGTTATCTTCAGGAGATGGTAAAAATGCTTGAACTGGTGTGGAACAAAAATCTCGCTGTGGGTATATGTTTGAAAGATGATCAAATGAGATATTCTGAACAATTGCGGCGGATCCAAAGGCATGCTGCATATGGCCTCTGTTGTCTTGTCTTTGATCATGCACACCAACTGTCCAGTTGATATTGTCGCCCACGATGCGGATGGTTTTGTTGTTCTGAATTTCTTCAATTAGTTGCTCTTTATACTTTCCCCCAAAGTTTTGTATTACTTTCAAGCTTCTCTCGTATCCAATACACACTCCTACAGGTTGTAGTCTATCAAAAACCTGGTGAAAATATATTAGATTAAACATATGATATTTTGTATAATTGAATTAGGAAAAATTATATTAAATTCATATACATTTAGACATTACCTTTTGATCACAAATATTGTCAAACAGCAGAAGAGACATCATTCTTTGAACAAGGCTTAGTTCTTTGTTTCGTCCTTGCATGAGAACTCCATAAACCATTCCAAGTCTTGGAACAACTCTCTCTATTTGCATATATGAAGACATTTGGTGTGGCTCTAGTAAGATGGACAGAAGACATACAAACAGGTCTGGGAAGAATGTTAATAACTCCTCCACAATCGAAAACCAATTTACATTTTTCAGATCTTCAAAATTCTTCTCCATTAATTTGCTGACATAAAAATGTTTTCTTCTATTCATATGCTTTGCGGTTTCACTAATTTCTTGAGATAAATGATGTACTACATTCTTCCTCAAGTATTCAATAGAAAGGATTTTTGAAACAAGATTGTCTGTAGTTTCATAGAGACATGACCTTAACAGGATTTCTCTGTCTTTTTCCTGTAGTTTTTCTTGGTGTAATGGACTGTATGATTTCATGAGACTGCTTATGTCTGAACATATACTATTATATTTTTGTGCCTTGTTTTTTGATCTCGTTGTCTTCTTGGCTGCTGTTTTTCCAGTAGACTGTGGCTTTGCATATGAATGAATTTGAGCATTGCTTTGTAAATCTAAATTCAAAGACTTTTTTCTGCATTGATCCGAGGACTTCTTTTTTGTTTGAAGAGGACTCTTAGCATAAGAATGTATTTCTTTGAAAATATGCAAATTGAAAGAGGATTCATCTTCATTTTTACAACAGGTAGATTGTACCTGGTCCTCAAATTGTTTAGCAGGTGTTGATTTACTAGTATTAGTATATTGGACTGTTGTTGGTGCAGTACCTGCTGATGGAATATCCGTAAAACTCTTTTCATATAGGACTGCATATGAACCACCTGAAGTGTACGTAATTTTATATAAATATATATATTTTGCTGCACGTCGAAAAAAAACACAGAAAAATATCTGTGTAAGCAGTTTTTTTTATCGTTTTATTATTCTCGCTAATTAAATCTTAATCTATGGAAGATAAACTTACCAGAAGATGAATCGTTGGGGTTTTCATCAGCTTTAAACGAAAGTTGAAACAACCGATTTCTGGCTTTAACTGGAGTGTCTTTTCTATCGCTCCTTTTTCTTGTGTCATTTGCAGGAGAAGAGGCTACCCTCTTTCCTCTACTATACACACCCACATAGTTTTTCTGACACAAATCATAGAACTCTCGACATTTTTTGTCCAAGTTAATTAATTTTTGAAAGCAATTTCTACAAAGTATTCCGCTTTCAACACTTATACCGCCATACTTTTTTAACAGCTCTTTTAGACCAATATCTGTATTTGTTTTGTATTCAATTAATCTAACACGATCACTAATATTTCCACATACAATACAAATATTCCTTTTTTCAGATTTTTGTTTCACAGGAGTGTTAAACATTTCATACTAGGCCTATGTACAAGACATTTCACTTAGCTGAATTTATTCTAAATTTTCAGGCGTGATATAACAGATCAGCAAGCCCCTATCACCTTACATGACATACATTAATTGGATAAAATAGAACTGCAGCAACTCTGCAAACAAGTTTTGTTTATTAGAATTGACATATTTAATTACCGCAGGAAACATAAATCGGTTTAAAGCTCACCCACTGAGTCAGCAGATAGCTTTATTATGTGATTACTTCCCATGCTGTGTCGTAGAGCAGCGGCGATAGATGGCGCGTCACTCAAGCCAGGAATCCCTGGCTTTAATGGCGGTGATCACCTGTCTTTTCCTGCGTACGCTAAAGACAGGCAATACCAGTCTATAAGGTTTCGGAATTTTGATTTTGCCCCGGGGAATCAAATGGGGATCGAAAAATGATGTTTTTTATGCAAAAAGCCCTGTCTTCCCTGAACTCCTCTTACATTTTACACAGTAGCCTAATCATCTTTTGGGAGATGGTTGGTGGTGTCATGTAGATGTACAGTAAGGTTTTGGAATGTTGATTTTGCCCTGGGGGGTGTAATGGTGTCCAAAAATGATATTTTAAAAAGTGAGGTCAAGGTCAAAGGAAAATTCAAGGTGAAAATAAGTTGACGTATTAATAGCTCTCAGCAGTATGTATCAGCATATGAAGTATGATAAATATATCTTGAATTGTTTATTCAAAACTGGTCTAGACATTAATTTTAGAAAAGTGAGGTCAAGGTCACAGGAAAGGTTAAGGTAAAAAAGAGTGAAGCATCGTAAAGCTTACATCAGTATGTATCATCAGGTGAAGTTTTATAACACAACTTGAATGGTTTCTTTAAAATAAAGCTAAACACTAATTTAAAGAAAAGTTATGTGAAGGTCAAAGGAAAAGTCAAAGTCAAAAAATATTGCTGCAGTTGGATATTTACATCAGTATGCATCAACATATGAACTTTGATAAAAATATCTAGAAAGTTTCTTTGAGCCCGATGGAAAGACAGATGGAAGGGTGGAGGACGGACATGACAAAAACTATACATGTATTCCTAATCATGGTGTGGCATAAAAAACTTGAATCTACATTATATGAGCATGTTTCCATCTATCAAGATTATACAAGCAAATTCAAAGAATTGTGGTCCTCTGCTTTCTGTGTTTTAGTGAATGAGATACCATAATTTATGGCAGATTGTGTGTCAAATATGCACCCCTATCATATATCAATTTTTGAAAATTGGGTCAAAGGGGAAAAATCATAGCATGCTCTGAAACATTTTGTTGCAGGTAATGTACATGTCAAATATGAAAGTCCTATCTCTTTTGAATCAAAAGTTATATATACAATATAATATTTTTGAAAAGTAGGTTAAACTTCTGGGTCAAGGTCACAGAGTCAAAAGTCATGATATATTTAGAAAAGTCTTTTCACATGTAATAAACATTTAAATTTGAATGCCCTTTCTTTTCTCCTTCAAAATGATCAATTTAAAATGTTATTTTTTGGAAAGTAGGTAAAACTTTAAGGTCAAGGTCTCACTTGGGTTAAAAAATCATAGTATATTTAGAAAGTTTTGTGGTAATGTGCATGTGAAATATGAAAGCACTATCTCTTATCATTCAAAAGTTATGACCAAGGTTAAATTTATTGTGACAGATGCACATACTAGCTGTCAATAAGATGGACAGACTGACAGACAAATGAGATTTAGTGTCCCCTCCCTTTCCCCAAAATGGGGGACAAGAATGCCCTTGCTGTTCTTGAGAAGAAGATTTATGATGGAAAAAATCCCCTGCATATTTCTTAACGCAAATCAATATTGTGTTTTTATGTCATTATACCCGCACTTTCGAAAGAAAGTTCGGGTATATTGTTGTTACTCATGTCCGTCCGTCCGTCCGTCCGTCCGTCCGTCACACTTTTCTTCCCTGAACTCCTCTTACATTTTACACAGTAGCTTAATCATCCTTTGGGAGATGGTTGGGGGTGTCATGTAGATGTGCAGTAAGGTTTCGGAATTTTGATTTTGCCCCGGGGGATCAAATGGGGGTCGAAAAATGACGTTTTTTTATACAAAAAGCCCCTTCTTCCCTGAACTTCTCCTACATTT